CCCCAAAACCCCAAAACCCCAAAACCCCAAAACCCCAAAACCCCTATGTACGTCTTAGAATTGGAAGAAATCGCAAATAATACTATATAAACTCCAATGATTAATTTTAAATAATTTTTTATTACAGAAATTTAATCAAGATGCCATCAGTTTCGAGCGACAATAAGGTTAAGATGACACCAACAAGAGCAGCTATTATAGGAGGTATCTCAGGAGCAATAGAAATCACAGCAGCTTATCCAGCAGAGTTTACTAAGGTTATCATGCAGCTCTACCCAAAATATAACAAGATGGGAGCATGGAATGTGTTTAAGTACACCATAAGAAAGGATGGGTTTTTTGGTCTTTTCAAAGGATACAACCTCCTTCTCACTGCAGGTGTGCCCAAGTCCTATATCAGATTCGGAGTCTTCGAATACATGACTCAGAATGTCTTTGAGGAGAAGAGTCTCAGAAACACAACCATCGCTGGTGTATGTGCAGGTTCACTTGAAGGTCTGCTCATCCACGTTCCTGTTGAAAACATGAAGGTGAAGCTGATCCATGATAGGTTTGTTCCTCAACCACAATTCCGGAATATGTTCCATGGAATCTATACTATTGCCAAAGAGCGTGGTGTCAAAGGTATGACTAGAGGATGGGGTATTAACACTGTCAAAGAAGGTTCGAATCATGCTATCAGATTCCCACTCTTTTTGGGACTTCAAAAAGTATTTGCTCCTCGCTTCAAATCTAACGTGATGCGGGATATGGTAGCAGGAACAATCACTGGTATTATATGTGTTGCTATCAACCAGCCTCTGGATACCATCAAGACTAACCTGCAAGGATTAAAAGGAGGAGATTACAAAAACTCTTTCGATTGTGCAAAAAAGATTTTAACCAACGAAGGTGTGTTAGGACTATACAAAGGCTTAAAGCCAAGAATGACAAGAGTAGGAATCGAAGTTGGTGTGACATTTGCATCTTACAACGCAATCATCGATTTTGTGCATAAATATCTTGATGGAGCTGAATAAATAGAGAGCCACGATATCTAGAGTGTTCTCTACCTTCAAAGGGGATAAATCCTTTGGTGTTAGCCATCCTAACTAATATCTTTTCTAAAAATAACAAAAAATTAATTTCTTGGGATCTTTCAAGACACGGATTATAAATATCTTTTATGTGGTGTCTTTCGCACCAGGAACTAGTAAATTTATGCGAAATATTACACTTAGAATTCCATTTTCATTGACTATTTTATATAATATTAAATACCATTAATCTTATTTCCATACACAAAAATCATTAAGGGGTTTTGGGGTTTTGGGGTTTTGGGGTTTTGGGG